TCAATATCGATGTTGCTAATTTTATTATAGACATTATGATTATTTTAGTGTTATTGACCTTACTAACAGCAGTATTAGATACTGGAAAATATTTTTGAAAATCAACAAAAAGGGTAAACAGGTGAGACTAGTACCCCTGATTGGCTCCAGTGAGTACTTGCAGAGCTACATATGGATAAACACAATTGATAAATTAAACTCGCAGTGGGCACGGCACGCTCACGTATGCTATCCCCGGTGGCTTTGGGTTGAATTTCCTTTCAAAACGACCCGTATTTTCTTCAGATAGAGCCTATGAACATGACTACTTTATACTGAAACCTTCGGTGCTGCAGATGGTGGAGAAATATTCACACAGGAATCAGGTTGATGTGAAAGGGAGGCAGAAAGAATTTTTTTTGTGTGATTTAATATGATAGTATCTTTTATCTGCATATACATATATGTTTGTATGTATGTATGTGTGTATATATATATGTATGTGTGTGTGTGTGTGTGTGTGTGTGTGTGTGTGTGTGTGTGTGTGTGTGTGTGTGTGTGTGTGTGTGTGTGTGTGTGTGTGTGTGTGTGTGTTGTGTGTTTATATATATATATATATATATATATATATATATATATATATATATATATATATATATATATATATATACATATATATACATATATATATATATATATATATATATATATATATATATATATATATATATATATATATATATATATATATATATATATATATATATATATATACATATATATACATATATATACATATATATACATATATACATATATATATACATATATTATACATATATATATACATATATATATATTTATACATTTTATATATATATATATATATATATATATATATATATATATATATATATATATATATATATATATATATATATATATGTATATATATATATATATGTATATATATATATATATGTATATATATATATATATATATATATATATATATATATATATATATATATATATATATATATATATATATATATACATATATATATTGCCATTATTCTTTATTTCAAGATTAGTATTTTTCTTTCTGTTCTCTGAAAAAAGACAGTGTATATAAAATTATTTGTGATATATAGAAACATGTAGTAAAAAGGTAGATCTCAGTATTCATCTTTTATTATGTAGTAAGTATTGTGTATATACTCCTTATTCAGCTCAAATTAAAGACGACAAGTAATGTTTCAGCAGCAGGCATTCTGTGACTTTTTTTTCTCTCTTTTTTATGATGATAATTATGGTATTTTGCATAATTGACAGTAGAACAGATATGCAGAATCTTTGCTCTCACTTATACCTTATAATCAAAATTTAAAAAACTAATGCTCTCTCGTTAACCCTTTTGTAAATCCTTCGGGTCCTTTTAAGAATCATGTCCTTTTAAGAATCATGTCGAGTGGGTCCCCGCAATCAAAATTTCTGTTTTTTGGGCTTTTTGTCCTCTGCTGTTGTGGAAATTATTCAGCCATCTAACTTGGTTCCACTGTCAATACTTTATTCCTTTACAAAAACTGGAATATTCATCGAATTGTAACATGGCTGTGCATTACACAAGATTTCCATTGTAGAACATAACACCATTATATTAAAAACATATTTAGAAATCTGTTAGGAAAATCACATTGAAAGGAATTGTTGATGATTGATATTGATGCTAAAAAAAAAAAGGAATGAATACTATATATGGCATTCACTCACACCCACATGTCATGGCCATGCACTCTAAACATACCCATCATTGTGGGCTGCGCAGTCATGTCCAACCCAGCTCAGAAGGGTTAAGTTAGTCAGTAAGTTTAATGAACTAATTGACCTATAAAACTGTAAAGGAATAGGGCTGGGTTCATAGAAACCTGATGGTGAACATGAAATTAAAAATAAATGGGTGATGATTAATAGCTAAAAGCAATTGCAATAATAAAAATATCACAAATCAGGTAGGGAAGTGGGTACTTATATGTAATGACATCACTTAACAGGTTAGAGGAAGTGATCACAATCTCGTTTCTTTACTGTCATGCCTTAAAAATCCCTATATATGTGTTGAATGCATTGAAATATGCATTTCAATAGTATACTGTATTTTATTGCACCGTTAAACTGTTTTTGATAACCTTTTTTCTTTCTCAAAAGGAACCAAAAATAATCATTAAGTTTATTATGATAAAATATGTGTCAAAGTATTTTTTAATCAAATGCTATTTTCATGTGATAATTATTAGTATTATTATTGCTCTTCTATATTTTTATCGTGTTGGTTCAGTTTAGAAGATTAATACTGGAACATATAAGATAATTTCTTAGTTTGCAACACTAGTTAAGAAGCATAATATTGATTCCTGCACTTTTCAAACACTTTCAATTATCATTCTAGTTTTAGAAGGAATGAAAGACTAATCTGCCGTGAAACAGCGGTAGGCATCTTGACAAAGATATTCCCTGGTATTTGACATATAATTATAACATTTTGTCTTGATAACCCTAGAGAGGTCTGCCTTGTTCCTGTTATGTTATTTGTAGGCCAGAAAATGTAATTGAGTTGACACACAACACACATACACACACACATCTATATCTAGATCTATATCTATATCTATATATATATCTATATCTATATATATATCTATATATATATCTATATATATATCTATATATATATCTATATATATATCTATATATATATCTATATATATATCTATATCTATATATATATATATATATATATATATATATATATATATATATATATATATATATATATATATATATATATATATATATATATATATATATGTATATATATATATATATATGTATATATATATATATATATATATATGTATATATATATATATATATATATATATATATATATATATATATATATATATATATATATATATATATATATATATATATGTATATATATATATATATATATATATGTATATATATATATATATATATGTATATATATATATATATATATATATATATATATATATATATATATATATATATATATATATATATGTATATATATATATATATATATATGTATATATATATATATATATGTATATATATATATATATATATATATATATATATATATATATATATATATATATATATATATATATATATATATGTATATGTATATGTATATATATGTATATGTATATATATGTATATGTATATGTATATATATGTATATGTATATATATGTATATGTATATATATATAAATTTTCTCTTTCTTTCTTTTTTCTTGTAATTGTATTCAATACCTTGTTCACACACATAACCTAAAAGTATGGCATATATTACTAATTGCCGAGGATATAGTTATTTTTCATGATAAAGTAGATAATATGAAAAAGTTTGTTGTAGAGAGAAATCAAAGGTGAAATTGGAGCAGAAAATTAGGTTGTATATTTATATATATAATGAATAAGTATTGACCTAGTGACTGTTGCTTGTGGTGTCAAGGGATGTGTCTTCAGATATAGAGAAAAAATTGAGAAAGTTTTCCCATGTGGAAAGAGAAAGTTAGTTCAGAAATAAGGGGGGGAAAAAAACAGTAATATAATGTTCTTTCTATACTAGGTCTGCTCTATTTTATGCATGTTGATCTGTGCTGAACAGAAGCGCGTTTTTATTTTAGCTCGATAAAGAATTTTGTTTTGTGTTGCTGATAGGCATGGAAACACGGACTTGGAGCAGGTCGGTATATTTCCTTGTGATGTGCATAAAATAAATTTGCTCCATATTTTTAATTTATTTTCAAATATCAACTGATAATGGATTTTTTTTTCTTGTCATAGTTTTCTTCTTTTTTTTTCTTCTTTTCTTCTTGTTTTGCCATTATAGTTGTATAAGCTATTAATTATTTTCAACAAATCTTGTACATATTTGTACTTTCTTTATATTCATATATATGTTGAAATTGTTATTATTACTTTTATTTTATGATTACTTCATAACTGGTATTGTTATTAGGAGGCATAATGATATGATAAGCATTATTATGATCTCCTTGTACTTGTTGTTATTATTATTATTATTATTATTATTATTATTATTATTATTATTGGCACCACATCTATCATCTTTGTTTTTTATTACCTTTAATATTTTAAGTACTTAGAGAACTGACATTTTAATCAGTTATGTACATTATGTAACAGTTACAATTACTCCCATTTGTATCCATATGTAACTCTAATAGCTTCTTACAAAGGAGTAGGTGGGTAAAATTGGTGAAAATATAAATGATGTCCTGTAAAATTATGCTTCCGAGCAACAGAACTTCCACAACTTTTACAACTGTTTGGATGAGTGAAAGAAAACGGGGAGGATGAAACCAGAGATACTTGGGACTGTTGCCGAACTTGAATGAACGTGGAGACCAAAAGCCGTTCAACCTCATAGAAATTTTAAGCTTGTTTGGTGTTATTTGATTGCATCTGAAAATGGACTCGGCAGCTTGGCATCATTGCTATTGTTGTCTTTTATTATTATTCATTGTTATTGTTCTGTGTATGAACATGTTGCAAAAGAGTCAAGGACTGGACTTATGTATGTGGAGATTATATTCCAGCAGATTGCATAACCCCTAAAGGTTTTTTCGTCCTCTATTTCGGCATTCCTAGGCGTGAACATGAGTCAGATTGTACCTCGTGCCCACA